CAATGTAACATCTATCTCATGCATAGATGAATGCGTTTATGTTTTTTCTTTTACGGGTAAAACTGTAAATGACCACATATATCTTTCCTATTGTCTAAAACTTTCTAATTGAATACTCCGTACTTTCAATTTGCTATGATAGATTCATTCACTTCTTGTATTTCATCTATGTTCAAGAGGTTCCACTTTGGTCATTGTTGTCACAGGCATTATGTATGAGGTGCACTTAAACCCTCTAGCACTTAGGGCATCCCTCAGCAAAACCAAGCAGCCAAGCACTCACTTATTCGTTAAAAAATTAGGTTGAGTATCAAAATCAAGTTAGGTTAACTTACAAGGCTCCTGTTTTCTCTCTTGCAGGACTGTGAGAAATACTAAATATAGTTAGCTAAAACGATACTAATGTATATTATGGATAAATGTGAGTCCGTGACTGTGATTAGAAATAGGAAATTAGAAACTAAATAAGAATAGAATAGTCATTTAATTTGGATTAAAATTTTTATTTGCATTATTCTTTCATGTATATCACTAAAATGAAGTTGAAGCTTTCTTTTTATGTGTATAGTTATGTTTTCTTGCTTGTACATGTCTATGTGGGTGTCTTTGTACATATATTGTTCGTGTATATTTCTTCATGCGCTCGTTTGTTGAATTGTAGGGCTTTGGTACATTTCTACACATTTTGCTTTTGACAATGCTGCTTTTGGTGAAATGAAATCCTTTTACTTAGATATAGGAGAGGGAGGGCGGGACCGAGGGAGGGAGGGAATATACAAGTATCACTGTGGGTATGTAACACCATGCATTAGAAAAATTTCAAAATTCTAACGCAATGGTGTCATACACTCGTATATGTAAATATACATGTATGTAGAATAAAGGATTCTTTATTTTCTAGTTTAAGACCCTTGAACTTTGTCACAACATTTTCCTGTTGTTTTCTGCTACTCCTGATTGTGCTCGACCTTCTCATTCCTGTTGAATTTTGGAATTGTTTTACTTTGTATCTTAAAATCTGTCATCTTAATTACGTGGGTGACTAGCAGGTTAAAAATAAAGTTGTCCGTGAAGTCATTGAATTTGTAGGAGGTCATCAATTACTTTTTGATCAAATCCTTCGAGAAGATCTTTCTGATGCTGATGACTTGACAATGGAACAAATAAATCTGGTGGTTGGCATACTTACAAAGGTACAGATATGTGTAAAGTTTGTTTGGCATTACTGTCTTTTAGATTGATTTCAATCCCAGTGATGGGTACATTCTGATGTTTTAGCCATTTAAATTACCACTTGCTAGTCCTTCTCTTATGTAACACTTCTTCTTGACCTACTTTTAACTGTAAATCTGTGCAGATCTGGCCATATGAAGAGAGTGATGAATATGGTTTTGTTCAAGGGCTTTTTGTGATGATGCGTTTTCTTTTCTCTAGTGATCCAGACTCTTTTATTACAAACCAATCCATACGTTTTCTGGAGGTAATAAGAACTCCCAGGTGTAGCTTGATTGTGTATTCCGGAGGCAAGATATATTTATAACGTTGAAGTCTGTATAGTCATAGTTCTTCTCAGTTGTGTTTCCTTTTCTATTTTCAGGAAAGGCGGAAGGCAGAAGTGAATGCTTCTCGTCTGTGCTTTAGCCTGAGCGCTTATCTCTGTTTTCTTGTAACGAAGAAGTCTTTAAGATTGCCGGTACATCAATTTTGCTTGTTTAACTATTTTCTTCTTATTAACTTTTAACTGTAACGGTTAGGCATGAAATGCTTATGTCTCTTTCTCTTGCTGCTGCCTTGAGAATAAAGAATGGCATGTGTCATACAATTTTGTTCACTGTATTTGGATCAGGTCTCAGATGGTCCGATGGACTATCGTGCTTCCGCTGCTCAGCAACAGCCAACCTTGAATTTACTTGGTTTTCTTCTGAACTCTCTGACTACAGCATTGGAAAGGGCTACGGAGGACAGATATTTACTGCTTAGCAAGGTGAAAGATCTGTGTTTTGGCTACTGAATAAAGAATAAAAATTGTACTTTTAATCTGAGTATAATTATCTTATAAAAAAATTAATCTTAGCTTTAAATCTCTTTATTTTCCCAGCTCCAAGATATAAATGAATTATCAAGACAGGAAGTGGATGAAATCATTAACATGTGTATTCCCAAGGGCTGTATTTCGTCATCTGAAAACATTCAGAAAAGGTATGCAGCTTCATGTAATACAATTTCAGGAGAGATACATGTCCAGTTGTAATATGATCTCTGATCTAGATTATTGAACTTTCAATACTAGCTGGAGGGTGGTCGGTACTGACTGGGAGAGCATGGATAAGATTTTGTTTTCTCATCCTTCTGCTGTAACGTGTGAGAGATTCAGATAGGCTTACTGGGTAGTAGTGATTTGTTGATGCAAATATGCATATTCCGGAATGTCATCTATAGTTCTATTGGAGGACTAGATGATCTAACACTGTCTGTGCTTAGGAAAAATATGCTATTTATCTTGTAATTCCTGTATATATCATTCAATGTCAATATGCTTCCTTCTAATTCATGTTTAAGTTTCTCATTGAGTGTCAATGAACTTCCTATTAGTACAACTCCATCGGTCCAACTCTCTGTGTTTTGGTCTATCTCACTTTCGATTGCTGATAGAAAAGACAGATCTTTCGCACCAGCTCTGATGATAGTACATAATATCTCCTTGGAAATTTCCTTAATTCCAGGACACAAAATAGATCCTGTGGGTGGTCAAATCTTAGGAATTGCATTAGTTTTTATTTCATTAAATAAACACTGATACAAAAAATAAATTCTCTTTCCATCAAATATTGGAAATAGAGTTGTATGCTTAGTCTTGCTTGCAATTATTGTGCTGACTGGATGGTCTACATTGCTCAGAGGTGAATAATTATCATGACTAAAATCTCGTTAGTATGCTAATCAGACTAATTTCTTGATTGGTCCCTCTGTTCACATCATTTTATATTCCAGGAGATATATTGCAATGGTGGAGATGTGCCAGATTATTGGAGATAGGAATAAACTGATGACACTATTACTTTTACTGGCGGAAAATGTGATGAATATTATCCTTCTCCATTTTCAGGACAGGTATTGTTAATACATTTTTCTTTTTTTCATGGTTATGCAAATTCTGTTTGCTTAACTTCAATTGGGCGTTGCAGTTCTTTTGAATGTGGCACCAAACCATACGCAAAAGACGACTTGAATTTACTTTGTGGAAAGTTAATCTCAGCTTTGGAGAGGCTTGAACTTTTAAGCGAGGTATGCTAACTAAAACTCCTCTCCTTCCCTGCACCCTAAACAATATAAATTAAAGAACATCCAACTTTCCAGCACTAGTGGAGACCAATGTTTCTGTTCTGTTTGTTGGACCTCAACTCCTGGCTGTTACTTTCATATGGTTCACTTGTGATTGGCATACTGCTCTAATCCTTTGGATACCATCTACTTTGACCAATCTGCACAGTGACTGCACATTTGCTATATTTCACTACGAGGACAATATTTTTGGCAGTTAAGGCGAAAACTTCCTTTCTGTAGAAAGTGGAAAGAGAAATACCATCGCAAGTAAACATTCCACTTAATATGATATGCTTTGGACGTTTATATTACTGTTTTGCATTCTTTTATGATACAGTCCTAAATTAGCTTCTAAAGTTAACAATCCTCTAAGTATTATGTATATGATTCTTAGTATGTTGTCCCTGCCGTCATACTTCAACGAGCAGCCATGTTCAGCAAACTTCCTATACTTGCATGCCAATGCTTGTAATAATTCTCACCCACAAGGCTTTGTTTTAATGGTAAGAGCGCAATGCATGATGTGGATTATGTGTGTGTCACGGGTTCTAAACCTGCTGCAAAACCCTTTATTCATTGAGTCTTCAACTGTGCGCTTATTGGCCCTTGAGGATTTCTCGGTTATCAAAAAAAGAATAAAATGCTTGTGATAATTCTCTTGTTCAGCCATGCTAGCAATATTTAAACTTTGTAACCTGCATGCTAATGCTTTTTATAATTGTCTCTTGTTCCTTAATTATGGGAATTTAGCATTTCATTTTTTATCCTTCATTCGTCTGCAGGATAAAACAGGTCATGACCTTAAGGTGTTCCGAAGATTAGCTAGTTCTCTGAAAGAAATATCGATTCAGAAGTCACCTGTTTGAGTAGAGATCTTGTTCATTCTTTTTCTTTTCTAAATTTTGGCATAGGGAGGATGAGTTTGGATGTCGTTTAAATGTAATTGTATATCGTCTTTTATCCAGTGTCGGTCTTGTAATTTTTTTTAATCCTCCAATCAGTTGTACATATTGTATATCATACAACTTGCTGTAATGTGCAATTTAGTATTTCCCATTTCAATGGAGTTTTGTTTTGTTTGTTCTAAATGTTTGTACATTAGAATTGGATTATTATGATATATTTTCCAAATGCTGTATGAAATGTTTTACTGACGACATAGTAATTTTATTGGAGTTGGGCGGTGGTGTTGCGAGTTTTCTAGTGATTATGGTGAATGATTCCTAGGTTGCAGGTAGTGGCGAAATCAGAAATTCGAATAAGGGGATTAGAGAAACAATACACTAAAAGTTTTCTTAATATAAAGGAATTTTATAAGTTTTATGTATATTTAAAATATTTTTCTCTCTAAAGATGCAATATAATTTTCCAACTCACTTGAACCCATTCACCGTACATAGCTCTGCCACTGAATGTAGTTGTCTGGTGAATATTTGATGAAGCTTAGAGGAAAAATGGGTACTCCTGTGTTGATGGCGTGAGTCAATTGATTTTGTACTCTATTACATTATTTTTAGTTTTATGTCAAATCTTTCAAGAGATTTTTATTTTTACATATAAGAGATCAAAGAATAAAATACAAGAGTGTTTGCAAGATCCAATAAAATTGTGGGTACTTGTTAATAAAAAGGTGGTGTTTGTAAACAACTATTTCTCAAAGGTTGCACATATTTGAATTCAATACCCCAAGATTTTGCAGATATAGTCACACTTGCTCTAATTGATATAAGCTACTGAAAATTCTGTCGGGAATTCGCCGAGCAGATTCAACAGGACATGCAAGACAACTATGAAACATCTGTTGAGGTCCATATCTCTTAAGCTTGTAAGACATCTTCTTCCTTCTGATAATAATAATAATAATAAACAAAGGTAGTCCGGTGCACTAAGCTCCCGCTATGTGTGGGGTCCGGAGAAGGGCCAGACTACAAAGGTCTATCGTACGCAGTCTTACCCTGCATTTCTGCAAGAGGTTGTTTTCACGGCTTGAACCCTTGACTTCCTGGTCATATGGATACAACTTTGCAGATATCGTACGCAACCTTACCCTGCTTACTGAAGGAGAAGTTTTCATTTCCTTGTTTATACAGGTCTATTTTTATTATAATCCACCAACATCTAGAAAAGACTAAACAAAACTCCAATTTTGACCTACCAAAATTTAGAACATACAAATAAAAAATCCACCAAAATTGGAATTGCTAAATATGTACATAAAATTTGGAGCATTTAAAAAAACACTGACAGACGGCTATACTCAAAATCATATAAAATTAAGTTATGAATTGACTTTTCTTTCATAGAACTGGCTAATCAGTGTGGCACCTTAATTAAGGTCATCACCTGTTTCTGCAGAAAAAAAAAAAAATAGATTTCCCAAAATTAAGGAACGAGAGAAAATTATAGTAAGAAAGAGCATGTACGTATAAGAACTTACACATTATTGGACGGATTTGAATAGATCCAATGACAACGTAAAGAATTTTTACGCTGTCAATGCAATTTAACTTATTAAAGAAGGTAATTGTAGGTTACTGTATTCAGCTTGCTATAAAGAATTATATGTTATAGCAGATTTTTACTGTTGGAACAATTTCACATGAAGCAATTTTTTTTTTTTAAAAAAACTTAACACTTTACTGTTTGGATTACAAAAACTATTTTTTATTTAAACAAAAACGGTTGTATAATAGGGAAAAGGTATAATTAAACTTAGTGGCTCAAATAAAGATCAGATTCTTATTTGTGATCACCTATTTTCCCAAGACATTATATCTTCTTGAGTAGTTCTTAATCTTTAAAGTACAAAAGAGATATTGTTGATGGCCAAATTTAGGAAGTATAATCATGATTAATTTAATTTTATTAATCTTGAGAATGATCAAAGCAACTGTACCAATGACATTTTCATTTGATATTTCAATTCCTCAAGTTGATCAATATGTTTCTTCTTCCTCTTCCTCTTCCTCTTCCTCTTTAGGCTTGAACACGGATCCCTGTTATATAAGGAACTTTTTAATCCAAAATTTCAATATCTCGAGCTGATTTAAGTAGCAAAAATAATGAAGGATGTTTCCCTTACTTCAATACCACATACTTGTAACTTCTTTAGATTGCAAAGTAGTCTAAAGAAAGATGTAAGAATTACATATTTGTCTTTTTTTATCATATTTGATTTCCTGTCTCTTGAAGGACAGGTCAACATATTTACCATAATGGGGTTTTCCTTATTTTAGAAAGAATCGAATCACGTTTAATATATGTCTCTTTTGGTATATTTCTCTTTTGTTGTCTGATTTATCGTCGTTCAGGATTTGCTTAACTAGCTTCCGCATGACACCTGATTAGAAGCTATGACACCTGATTATTTCGATCCTTTTCGTAACCAAACTTTTCTCTGTCAAAATGAGTGATCATAATAAATGGATCACTCTTGACCTAAAAAACCATGGAAATTCAATTTGAGCATTTCAAGATTGGGGAAATTTATCAAGCACGTCAGGTCACAAAGAAACGTTTCCCCTAGTATGTACTTATTAACTAGTGATAGGTTAATGAGGTTCCTATCCTAATTTAAACAGAAAACAAAATTGATCTCTACAACGATTTCTATAGATGATGGAGTAATGGTTAAAAGTAAATGAATGATATAAGAATTAAATTTAAGGAAGAAGATGTCTTACTATATGGACCACAAGGGATGAACTACCATAGTTGTCTAGCATGTCCTGTTGAATTTGCTCGGCAGAAATCCCAACAGATTCTGCACACCCAGTTACACTAATACGAACAAGTGTGGTTATATCTGCAAAATCTTGAGGGATTGAATCCAAACACCAACAATGTACAATAACTAGTCGTTCAAGGCAGGGAAAGTGATGACAACTAGCTCTCCAGTACTTAAAATCCACTTCTTCCAGGTACAAGAACTTCAAGCAAGGAAAACCATCCTCAACTACTTCCCACTCTTTCCCTTTACAAGGATCAGCTATTAGTTTAAGAACCTCGAGTTTGGGCAATTTACCAACAATGCTCAAATCCTTCCACCACAAACAAGTCATATAAAGACTTAATGTCTTCAGATTTTGTGGAAAAGCATCCGGAGGAGGTAGGAGCAAAGGTGGAACAGCATCTGGAGTAGGTGGAATAGTATGTGTAGGAGTTGGACCTGGCATTTTCAGAAACCTCAGAGGATCTTGTGGAGTAGCACCTGAAGGTGTAATGCTTTCTAGAAAGCAAGCATGATAATTTAGATGAGACATATGAAACTCCAATTCCTCGAGTTGATCTAAGCAGCGAAAATCATAGAGGTCCTTGCGACTACGAAAGTCTTCTTCAACACCCCATATTTCCAACTTCTTTAAATTGGGAAATAGTCTGAAGAAAGATCCAGTACAATACCAAGGATTCCACCCTGAGAGATGTCGCAAATTTTTCAGAACCAAACTGTTCTCTGTAAGCTCATGATAATGCAAGTAATTCCAGCCCAAGCGGAGGTGTCTCAGTTGTGGCATAGTCAAAATTTCCGATGGTAATATAAGAGGATGTCGTGGGGCCTCGTAATGTGGCTGACCAAGAATAAAAGTTTCCAAATAACATAGTCTAGATATGGAAGGAGGAATGTCTATTGATGAGAGAGTCTCTTTTCCTAGATAGTAATGCACAGTAGGAGAAAGACGCAAAGCTAGGTATCTCAAGTGAATTAGATCAAGTATCCCGCTTGGAAAAACAATAAAATTCATTAAAGAAAGATCTAGTACTCTTACTAGCTTGAAAGGCAACAACTCTGACATGAACCCTGACTTACTATTGAAAAAGAAAATAGAACGAGCCTCATTATTAGGACATCTAGCCAATTTTTTCACAATAATACGGTAGTTCAATTGGGTACTGGTCCGACCTCGACTATTTGAGGAAAAATGCATGGATTGTGCAGATGGATTTTGATCATTCTTTTCTCCAATAAAATTCACAATATTCATATTTCGAGCTTCCTTCAAGCAGAGTTCACGGATCACATCATGTATTCTACAAAACTTGACACGTCCATCACCTGTCACATAGTGGATGGAAATTAAACTTCTATCTATTAGATCTTTTAGACATTTTTCTGCCACTTCTTCTATGCTTTTCATCTCTTCTACCTTCAAAAATCCATCCGCTGCCCATAATTCCAAGAGTTTATCGGCATAAATCTCAGCATCCTCTGGGAAGATTCCAAAATACAAAAAACATGCTTTTAGGTGATGTGGCAAGTGATGATAACTCAAAGCAAGCACTCTCATGCATTGGACGTCAACATCAGTGCTTACCATTGATCTTACTTTCTCGGCAACACTTTGCCACTCATCCAATACTTTACCAATTTTGGAGAGAAGTCCAGCAATCACAGCAATTGCTAGAGGTAATCCTCCGCATTTTAATGCAATTTCTTTTCCAATTTTTTCAAATTCAGGAGAGAAACAATCTTTCTCAAAGACCTTTCTGTGCAGTAAATCCCAACTTTCATTAAAATCTAAAAGGCGCATTTGACAAGGAGGGTTACCTGAGCTAGCATATTCAGCTACTTCCACATTCCGAGTGGTCAAGAGTATTCGGCTTCCATTGGTGTAGTCCGGGAAACATAACTTTATATCATCCCAAGCTTCTGTAGTCCATATGTCATCAATGACGATCAAGTATCTCCTGCCTTTTAGAAGCTTTTGCAGTTGGTCTGCTAGTTGGCCATCATCTTGCTCAAAATATTCATTAGTCCTTCCACTTATAGAAGAAAGAAGTCCTAGTAGTACATTTCTCACGCAATACTCTTGTGAAACAGTAACTTTTGCACGAATGTCAAAGCGAGACATAATGAATGAATCTGTGTAAAGCTTGTTAGCTAAAGTTGTCTTACCGATGCCACCCATCCCTATAATGGAGACAGCTTCTAGTTCACTTGATCCTCTGGCAAGCTGATCCTGCATCATCTCGAACTCAATTTCATGGCCAACCATAATATTCTCGGGCTCTACAACACGTTCAGGTATACTGGCTAGAGAAAACTTTTGTGCTTTCAAACCTTTGATGTTAGTGTACCAGTCCCGTATCGCCATCCACTGTTTCATGATGGAATCAATGCGTTCTACCGCTTGTTCCAAGCAACAACAGAGTTTCCAGAAAGCGTTGTTTCGTAAAGTTGGTGTTTTTAAACAAAGAACTTTTATTGATCTCGAGTCAACCTTATCTTCTGCGCTGAATGCTACCTCTTTGATTTCAGCTTCCAAGCTTGTCAGTGCTTCAATATCTTCTGTTATATTACAAAGTTTCTCCATAATAGATCTCAAGGATTCAAGCTTTTCATAGAACGATCGCAAATTACATCTAGTAAGTTGCATAGATTGTTGTATGGTGTTCATAAGAGAAGTAATAGCAGCATAAGCCATAAGTCCCGTGTCCAAAGTCTGATTCAACAAATAATACTCTCTCAACGGCAATAAACCAACTTTCCTAACGACTAGTGCGTCTAGCGCACTCTTCGAGCCATGGAGCCACCGGATGGCGACCAATCGGCGCGTCCGGCTATCCAAACTGCTCCCCCAGATGGTGCGACCATACCCTCTGAAGGAATTCAATCGATAAAATCTTATGCTACAGCAATCACCACGACAGGGAAACCAAACCCTTCCCCAAATCGACCACCGGTAATAGCTCGAACCTCAAGTCACAATGCCATGCCAACTGTGATCTTCAAAACTAAAGACTATTATGGAGTTATGGCGGAAGAGTGCAAATTTCCTATTGTGGGATGATTCATTAAAGTGCGACCTCAAATCAACCTTTGAAGAGAAGATTTCAATTAAAGGTAACTCTAAAATTGGAGTCTTTGATCTACATAATGTTTTTATTGAACTCTTTAACGAGGAGGATTACAATACAGTGAGATTTAAGAGGAGAATTGAAGTTGAAGGAAAAGATATGTGGTTAACAAAATGGACTCTTGATTGGAAACCAGAAGAGGATGTCCCATACGCCCCAGTTTGGGTCTTACTTCTTAAGCTGCCTATGAACTGTCACAAATGGGAGTATATCAAGCAGATTTTAGGACCTGTTGGTACTCCCCTAGCTTTAGACACAGCTACGAGAGGCATGACTAGGCCTAGCATGGCCAAGGTTAGAGTAGAAATTGATTTACTAAAACTCCAGCTTGATCAAGTTTGGGTTGGCTTAGAAGATGAAAATGCTGGTTTGAAAGGCTTGCTCAAAAGATAGAATATGAAGTTGTTCCAAAATACTGCAAACATTGTAGATTACTGGGACATTCTATAGCTGAGTGCAGAGTCTTGGAGAAAAAAAACCAAGCTGATAATAGCAAAGTAGATGAGGGGAAACAAGTGGCAGCTAACAATGAGCCAATTCAAAAAGAAGGCCCTAAAGACAAAGAACTTGAAAATGTGATGCAACAAGGAAGCAAAATACAAGAAGTACCAAAAATAGATCAGGGTGAAGTGCCACAGGTAGAATCTTCTAAGAGGATAGGCAAGGAAAAGGAAAAAAGGAAGAAGAGAAGACAAAGAAATGCTCTCAAAGTAGTTACGCAGAAAAGGAAAGCCAAGAGCTCAAAGCAACAAGAACTGGTGGAAGGTACTTCCAAGGCACCTAGAACTAGTTCAGACCACACAAAATAAAGGACACAAGATCAGATGGTGGAGAGTGTGAACACACTAGAATCCAGTGAAAGGATGAAACAAGGAAAAGTTATTGTTGTAAAAAATCAGAGAAAGGGTGGTCAGGACCTCAGCATTTCTGCACTCCTAGACCCCCCAATTTTGATCCAAAACACTTTTCAACAGTTATACCAGGAACAAGTCAATGAAGAGGAAGCCCCCTCCAAAGAAGATTTGCAACATGACACTTTGGCGGGGAATCTGATACAAAGCAATGTGGCCTTATCAAACAGACAAATTGATAAAGTAAGTAGTCAACAACCACACTTATCCGATGAAGAAGAAGTAGTGGCTGACAGTTTACCAATTGCCTATATTCTTGAAGTGGATAATCAAACCGATGAAATAGCAAATCAAATCAAGGAAGCTGTAGATAGAGGTGACTCCTTTAGCAAAGAAAAAATCTTTCAAAACTTACCCTCCTTCCACTCCTGTTACCAGGGGCAGGGGGAAATCTAACAAAAATAGCCAATCCCAAGTATTCCAATGATTACCATAATCATATGGAATATTGGGGGTGTAGAGTCAAAAGGAGCGTTTGACAGATTGATAAGACTCACTAGAAGGCACAAAGTTAGTTTTGTTGCTCTACAAGAACCTTTCATACACAGTTCTCAATTAGACAACTACAAAAGGAAACTGGGAATGCAAGGGGCTATTGCTAATCGCAATGGAAAAATCTGGTGTTTCTGGGATTCTAATTACACTTGCACTAAGATATGTAATTACAAACAGCAGCTTACACTTTCTATTAAGCACAATACCACTCTTGAGGCTCACTGGGTGACCATTGTATATGCAAAATCTTCAACTAGAAGGAGGAAGAAGCTATGGGAGAGCCTAGAACAAATTAATAACAAAATTCAAGGACCATGGTCTATATTTGGTGATTTTAACTGTATTATGAATACCTCTGAAAAGGATGGAGGCAGACCTCATAGATTGAGCAAAAGTTTGGATTTCATTAACTGTATGAATGAATGCAGTATGATGGATGCTAGTTATTCTGGTAATGATTTTACATGGACTAATAACAGAAGAAAGAGGAAAAGGATAAGAGAGAGACTAGACCGAGTATTCTATAATGATGAATGGTCTGCGACTTTCCCTCTTGTCAATGTTAGACACCTTCCTAGAACAGGATCTGATCATAATATGCTTCTTATGACCTGTTCAATTCAAGACACTCCCCCCATTAAATATTTTAAGTTTCTGAAATTTTGGACAGAGCAAAATGACTTTCAAAAAATTGTGCAAGACTCGTGGGATGAAGAGGTTACTGGCAATCATATGTGGATAATGCAGCAAAAACTGAAGATATTAGCTAGTTCACTCAGTTACTGGTCTAGAAACACAATTGGTAACATGTTTGATAAAATCAAAGATCTGGAGGATAAAGTGGAAGTTATGGAGGCAACTTATGGGGAAGACAATAGTGACACTAACAGAATTAACCTGAACAAATTCTATGCTGAGCAGATTACCTGGATTAAAAAGCAAAATGATATTCTCAAGAAAAAGGCTAGAGTGAAATGGGAACTGGATGGTGAGAGTAACACAAAGTATTTTCATAATACTATTAGACAAAGAAGGAAGAAGTCTTACCTCCATAGAATAAAAAAGAGGAAGGTAACTTGATTCAGGGTAATATGAAAATATTTGAAGCTGCTATTCAATATTTCAGCAACTTATTCACCCATCCAGTGCAAGAGTCAGATTTTAGTATATTGAACAAGATTGATAATCACATCACTGAGGAGGATAATATTTTTCTCACTACTATACTGACTACTGAAGAGGTTAAGGAGGCTATTTTCTCACTTAACCCCAACAGTGCAACAGGTCCTGATGGTTTCAATGGGTGCTTCTACCACTCATCTTGGGACATTATATCCAATGATGTGGTGAATATGGTTCAGGCTTTTTTTGAAGGCCAAAGGATGTCTAGATTCTACGCTAGCACTTGCTTAGTACTTATTCCAAAAGTGGAGTCCCATAGTTTCTTTTCCCAACTCAGACCAATCAGTCTCAGCAATTTCTCCAACAAGATAGTGTCTAAGATTGTCACAAATAGAATCTCTTTAATGCTGCCTAAGATCATTTCAGAAAACCAAACAGGTTTCATGAAAGGAAGGCTTATAACTGAGAATATCCTCTTAACTCAGGAGATTGTTAAGGACATTGGTAAGAAAAATATTGGAGGGAATATGGTTATCAAATTGGACATGGCTAAAGTATATGACAAGGTTTCTTGGAAGTTTCTCTTTGCTATAATGAGAAAAATGGGGTTTTCAGAGGATTTCATTAATATCATTTATAGGTTAGTGGCTGATGTCTGGTACTCTATACTAATTAATGGTATTAGACAAGGTTTCTTTCACTCCACCAGAGGTTTGAGATAAGGTGATCCACTATCCCCTTCTATATTCATCATAGCTGCCGAGATTCTCTCAAGATCCCTTAACAGTCTACACAATAAGGAAGGGTATGTGGGATTCTCAATGAACAAAAATAGCCCTCAAATTAACCATCTATGTTATGCAGATGACTTAGTCATCTTCACCTCTGGGAATAAGAGGTCAATGAAGATGATAATGAAGAAGCTGCAAAAGTATGAACAAGCTTCAGGACAAGAAATTAGTAAAGAAAAGAGCTTTTTTCTCACTCCTACGCATACTCCTCAATCCAAAAGAGAGAGAATTTAGAGAGTGACTAGTTTCAAATACCAACACTTTCCACTAAAATATTTGGGGTGCCCTATCTATTGTGGTAGAAAGAAGATCAGTTTCTTCACAGACATGGCTACTAAAATTCTCTACAAAATTCAAGGATGGCAGGGTAATCTTTTATCAGTGGGAGGAAGGGCCACCCTGATCAAACACGTTCTTCAGTCACAGTCACTGCACATAATGGCTGCTATCTCCCCTCCAAAGACCATCCTCAAACAATTAGAAAAGCATTTTGTGGACTTCTTTTGGGGAAACAATGATACGGGGAACAAACTGTGCTTTCCTACTAGTGAGGGAGGAGCAGGTTTCAGGAGTTTAGTGGATATTACCAAGGCCTTTGCAGCCAAGAGGTGGTGGAGGTTAAGATCATAAGACAACCTTTGGTCTAAGTTTATGCTAAGCAAATACTGTCAGAGGAGTCACCCTATGGCAAAAAAGAAGCTGTCTAGAGATTCTAGCAGCTGGAAAGAACTTATGGATATTAAGGATAAAGTTGACTCTCATATTTTGTGGAGAATATATGTAGGAGATTTATCTTTTTGGTGGGATAACTGGAGTGGGTTGGGCTACCTAGCCTCCTTACTGCAAATTCACAATCCTGGTACCCTTCTGGTAGAGGATTGCATTGTCGATGAAAATTGGAACCTTGACCTCATTAGTCAACTAGTTCCAGTTACTATTTTACAACACATCAAGCATGTGAAGATTGAGAATAATGAGGATAAGGATAAGGCTATCTGGAAACCTTCTACTAATGGTTTATTTTCAGTCTCCTCTGCCTTTGAACTACTCAGACAAAGAAGGGAGCAACAAAAAATCTCGAAACAAACTTGGATCAAGCATATCCCTTTCAAGATATCTTTCTTACTTTGGAGGATTTGGATGAAGAAGATCTCACTTGATGATATTATACTCAAGTTTGAGCTTACTATTGTTTATGAATGCTCATGTTACAGACAACCTCACGCAGAAACAATTGAACATATTTTTCACACTAGTGAAAAGGCCAAAC